TGCTGCTGAGCCAAGCTAAATGTAAAAGTAAAAAAAAAAAACCCCATAACTACACATCCAAAATATATGATGCCAGTGTCACCGATGCTGTTTGTGAAAATCGTAATGTTCTGTGATACCACAAACAGCTTAACAGCATCTCCTGGGCATGTCATTTAAAGGATTGGCCCCTCTCCCTAGTTCTTATTTATTTTATTTCTTATTTATTTAATAATTATTTTATTTATTTATGTATTTATTTATATTTGCTTTAAATGTGCCTCATGGCAGTGCCCAGCTTTCCATGCCCTTCATTGACAATAGCTTGACTATTACCCTTGAAGGTGGCCAGAATCTAGTATCAAAGTCGACTTCACTCTGATTTAACGGTTTGAGGACAATCTTCTTTTTTTATATATACTATGTATATCAAATCTGTATTTTACATATAAAATATAATACAGGATACGCCCATAATTATGCACAGCCTTATGAGCAATAGCTCTGTCTTGTAGTCTGTTCCTTTGCATTTCATGATTAAAAGAAAACTATGGGGTCAGTGTTTTTCCCCATAGTTCCCCTAAAGGCAATGGGGGACACATAAACTAGCGTCCTCCCGTCACCCAAAGCTTAGTATATTGCGGGCTACAGCTCGTGTTATACTGAGTATTAAATGTGCCCCATGGCAGTGCCCTGCTTTCCATGCCCTTCATTGACAATAGCTTGACTATTACTCTTGAAGATGGCCAGAATCTAGTATCAAGGTCGAATTTCACTGGGATTTAATGGTTTGAGGGCAAATCTGTTCCTTTGCATTTCATGATTAAAAGAAAACTATGGGGTCAGTGTTTTTCCCCATAGTTCCCCTAAAGGCAATGGGGGACACATAAACTAGCGTCCTCCCGTCACCCAAAGCTTAGTATATTGCGGGCTACAGCTCGTGTTATACTGAGACGCCGCAGCCGGGACGGATCCCGACATTACTGTCGAGCTCCACCCAGCTGCGTGAGTGACAGCTGATCTGGCTATCTAGAGGCAGAGCCAGCTGTACCCACCCCCTCCCCCGTCCGTTCCGACACTCAGCGCTGGAGGATCAGAGCGGGGAGGGTGGGGGGAATCCCTGACGGGAGCCGTGAGTGACAGTCGCCTCTCTCTGCAGGGACATGATCAAGAAGTGAGCGAGCGACGGTATGTGTTCGCTCACTTCCCGATCTATTGAGCCGACGTGTGACAGTTTCATTGTCACACGTCGGCTCGAACTATGAGGCTGAGTGATTTTCCCTCACCTCATAGTTCTCCTTTAAATATAATATAAAATATAATAAAACAATATATTTTACATTTTATACAAAAAAAACAAAATCATCGGGTTTTAGTAAACTGAACAATAACACGCAATCATGTCACTAATGTGCGAGACTTATCGGAGCAAAATGATCTTTTCAGTTCACAGCAGGTTTTTTGTATTGTGATCTCAGACTTGTTACCACGCGTGTTACTTGTTCTTGTTACATTGTTGTTGTTTTTTCCCTTACATATATACAAAAGGTCAATGCACAAATATTATTTTCACAGTCTTTGGGTTTTGCTATCTTCCAATTGTGAGTCGAGCAGAAAATGAAGCTGTTCAAGGCAGACATAAAATATTTATGGGGGGCGGGGGACACAGCTGTGTAAAATAAATGTTCAAAATGGTTAAAGGAGAACTATGGGGGTCAGGGCTTTTCCCATAGTTCTCCTAAGGGTAACGGGAGGACACAAACTAGCGTCCTTCCGTTACCCTAAGCTCAGTATATCGGGAGCTACAGCTCGCGGTATACTGAGACGCCACAGCTGAAGCGGATCCCGACAATTGTGCCGGGATCCGCCCAGCTGCTTGACTGACAGCTGGCTCTGCCTATCTAGAGGCAGAGCCAGCTGTACCCGTCCCCTCCCCCGTTCGTTCCGCCAGTCAGCGCTGGCGGATCGGAGCGGGAATCCAGCCCCTCCCCTGTCATGGCAGAGAGCCCTGACAGGATTGAGAAGTGAGGGAACGCCGGTATGTGTTCGCTCACCTCCCGATCTACTGAGCCGACCTGTGACAGTCTCATTGTCACAGGTGGGCTAGAACTATGAGGTGAGTGAAAAGCACCCCCCCCCTCATAGTTCTCCTTTAAATCAAATCTCCATTTTTAGATAAAAATAAATAAAAAAAAGCTCTGAATTTTGAAACCTAAAAAAATGCAGCTCTCAGTGTAACACTGACCTTGTGTCCAACAGTGTCCACCACCACAAATCCACCAGGCCCCTTCTGAGTAAAATGACAGCCCAGCCAGTCTCATCTACACTGAGCTACATGGATATTGCGCATTTTATCCACGCGATTTCGAGCTGAGCGATATTGAGCGACATTGCACATTTTATCACGCTACGTAGCGCATTTTTTGGGCGGGAACTTCGTCGCTGCTACATTGGGCTGTAACCAATCAACAGCGATCTTGATGTGACATCCTTCTTTCCTTCTATTTTGCAGTGCAAAAGTGACCCTTCTGTAGCGCGATATCGCGCGACAAAGTGGTGCAATATCGCAGGTCTTTGCGCGACACTATAGAGTCTATTGGAGCCGAATCTGCGCGAAAAAGGTTCATGTACGAGCGACGAGCTACAGGCGACATTGAGCTGTGTGATGTGAACAGCTCCATTGAAATGCATTGGACAAGCGACATAAAGCGATATCGCGCTGAAATATGCGCAATTTCGCGGCAGAAATCGCACGATAAACCGCTCAGTGTGAATGGGGTGTAAATCTAATTCCTGTAAGCCCAGGCTGTCATGGACACACACCCCGGGGGCGTGTCTTTAAGCCAATGTCTTCAAGTCACCCTGGGCTCACGGTATAAAACCGCACTGATGTCACATGACCAGGCAGAAGACCCCCAGAAAAAAGGTATGTATGAATGGGAATCTTTTTTTTTTTTTAAATTGTGAACGCTCCCCTCCCCCATCCAGCAATCCTTCCGCATTACATTTTATTTAATTTTTCCTTCCTTTGCCCCTTTAAATATTGACTGCAGCGCTGTGCACGCTTGGACTGCTCACCTCCCAGCGCCTCGGCAATCACCGAATCCAATTTTCCAGGTGCCTGCCCCGTAGCTAGGACACAAACAAGCGTAAAGGCCTCCGGAACATCTGGAGATTGGGAGAGCTACCCACAATCCCTCCCCCCCACCATCCCTAATTCGCAGCCGCCAAGAGGCGACCCCTAAACAAAGCCGGGGCCGGAATACTCCGCCGCAAAAATTCTCATCTCCTTTCAGCCAGAAAGCGTGACCAGAAATCATCGCTCATCAATGCTCGTAGGATCTTACGGAGCGCGCTTTCCCTTCCCCCCAAATATCTCTGATCGCCGTTCTCCCCATCACTTTACATGCCGAGGATTTTCTGTTGTCATTCATTGTAACAATGTATCCGTTTCATTCTCACATATGAAAGCTGATATTTAAAGGAGAACTATAGGGTTAGGGCTTTTCCCCATAGTTCTCCTTGGGGTAACGGGAGGACACAATCTAGCGTCCTCCCGTCACCCTAGGCTCAGTATATAGAGAGCTGTAGCTCGCGGTATACTGAGACGCCGCAGCTGAAGCGGATCCCGACAATTGTGCCGGTCCCCCCCCCCTTCCCATTAACATGATAATTACATTTTTAATGAATTCCTTCATTTCGGGACTCCCGGGGTGCTGTACATGGCTTCCTGAAATCATCACAGCACTCATCCTCACTACTCCTCTCAAGAACCCTCAGCCCTGATACAAGTAGTGGGCTGTCTCTGGGGAGGAGTTATGCAAATATCAAAATGCTGTGGTGGGCGCAGGAGTGCACATTCCTTGGCAGGCTGCTTTCCATACCACCCTAGGCAACTGCCACATGTGATGCTGAACCTTTATACTTTAAGAACTGGAATCCAACGTATGAAAGGGGCGGGGCCAGGGACAGTCAGGCTGGGGAGGAAAGTCAGAGATGATGCTGGTCATCCTTCAGCCAGAAAATTGAGGTGCACTCTGCATTAATATTTGATCGGATCCAGAAAATCAGCCTCCGCCGCCGTTAATGATTCTATAATAAAAGTTTGCTCTCAGACTCTCAGCTAATACCATCCGCTGGATATTGAGTTTGCTTTCCTCCTGGGAATAAATGACGCCCAGCTGCAGAAGACAAAAACTATTGAAATAAAGGTGTTCGGAGGGGCGGAGCAAACCAGTGGAAGATGAGATTATGCAAATGAGGATATTTTTATGATCCGTGACAACTTTATCTTTAGCTGATACATAATTGCATGAAGGAGCAGCAGAGAGAGGATAGACAGCCGGGAGAGAGAGAGGAGAGACAGCCGGGAGAGAGAGGAGAGACAGCCAGGAGAGAGATAGAGGAGAGACTGCCAGGAGAGAGAGAGAGAGAGGAGAGACAGCCAGGAGAGAGAGAGAGAGGAGAGACAGCCAGAAGAGAGAGGAGAGACAGCCAGAAGAGAGAGAGGGGAGAGGGACACCCAGGAAAGAGAGAAAGGAGAGACACCCAGGAGAAAGAGAGATAGAGAGAGAGTGTGAGAGACAGCCAAGAGAGAGAGAGGAGAGACATAGCAACACATTTGCCTGTAGCAGAATCCCTGTGCGCTTCAAGACTTATCTGCACTCTGTATTTCACACACCTCCTTGCTCCCCGAGTTCCAGCATCGCTCCGTGTCCGGTGCCTCCTCCATGCCATTTGGCCTTAAACCCAGACACATCACATACAGGACTCAAACCCCGGACTGTCCGGGCAAATTCCAGACAGGTGGCAACCCTCCACAGAGCACAATTGGCAGACACCTGTCACCTCATAACAGGAAGTGGCTGAAGAAGGGCCTTCATGGCAGGATCTCTAGGGATGGTTTTAATGAACACTGTAGATCTAACAGCCTTTACGGCAGCACACTGTGGAATATATGGGCAGATTCACCGCCTCGCCTTGAGTTTCCTCGCCTAAAATGTCTGCACTTTATTTTTCAGATCTACGGACTACGGGACGACGTACGAGAAGCTGAACGATAAAGTCGGGTTAAAGACCATTCTGAGTTATCTTTATGTCTGCCCTACAAACAAGCGCAAGGTAAGACCGGCCCTTAAATTTCCCGTTATTTTAGGTCACCCGTTCTTGGATAACCTTCCCTGCTCCCGCAGTCCATTACCGTTGACACAAGCCTTATGACTGCGAGGCCCAGGGAAAATATAGAAGAAAACAAATGGAAGCAGAAGCAATTCTCGGCCTGCCTTGCAGCTGTTTGGCCGACGCTGATAGAACGGCTCGTTAAGATTTCGGAAGCGGTGCCATAAATACATGTTTTTCGGAGGTTTCTGCATTTACTGTGACACATCATTGTGACACATCATTGGGGGCCTCGGCCACGGCACTTCCTACTGTGTCTCAATGGTTTTGCTTCTCTGCAGCTCGGTATCAAAGGAATACGTCCCTTTTACTTACCAAAGGGTTTGGAATCATTAAAAGGGCAACGAGGTCTAAAAATGATCTTCAAGATGTTTGCTAAACACTCTCCAGAAGGTTTTCTACCCATCTGAAGAAATCTAGGCAATGGTTTAGCTCCTCTGTAGTTCCTTATCAAAAGGGATGGGTCCCTTATACTAACCAAAGGGTCAGAACCTTTAAAAGGGCAACAGGAGCTAAAAACGGTCTTCAAGTTGTTTGCTAAACACTCTCCAGAGGGCTTTCTACTCAGTGGGAGAGCTCTGGGAAATGGTTTAGCTCTTCTGTAGTTCCTTATCGAAGGAATGAGGCCTTCTTACTGGCCAAAGGGTTTAGAATCATTAAAAGGGCAACGGGGTCTAAAAATGATCTTCAAGATGTTTGATAAACACTCTCCAGAAGGCTTTCTACCCATCTGAAGAAATCTAGGCAATGGTTTAGCTCCTCTGTAGTTCCTTATCAAAGGAATGGGTCCCTTATACTGGCCAAAGGGTTAGAACCTTTAAAAGGGCAACATGGGCTAAAAATGCTCTTCAAGTTGTTTGCTAAACACTCTCCAGAACGCTTTCTACTCAGTCAGAGAGCTTTAGGAAATGGTTTAGCTCTTCTGTAGTTCCTTATCAAAGAAATGAGGCCTTTTTACTGACCAAAGGGGTTAGAACAATTAAAAGGGCAACAGGGGCTAAACATGCTCTTCAAGTTTTTGCTAAACACTCTCCAAAAGGTTTTCTACCCATTTGAAGAAATCTAGGCAATGGTTTAGCTCCTCTGTAGTTCCTTATCAAAGGAATGGGTCCTTATACTGGCCAAAGGGTTAGAACCTTCAAAAGGGCAACATGGGCTAAAAATGGTCTTCAAGTTGTTTGCTAAACACTCTCCAGAGGGCTTTCTACTCAGTGGGAGAGCTCAATGACATGGTTTTGTTCCTCTGTAGTTCTCAAAGAAACAAGGCCTTCTTTCTGACCAAAAGGGTTAGAGCAATTAAAAGGGCAACAGTGGCTAAACATGCTCTTCAAGTTGCTCTAGGAATTGCTTTCACGCTTCTGTAGTTCCTTATCGAAGAAATGGGGCCTTCTTACTGACCAAAGGGGGTGCATAACTCCTTCCAAGAGCAAGCCCACTGCTTGCATAAGGGCTCCTGAGACTATTACTGAGGCAGGGCGCTGTGATGTTTTTAGGAAGCTATATACAGCAACCTGCCAGCCCCTCCCACCATCCATGCACAGAGAAGCACATAGACCCAGTGATGACATCACTGTGTCTAATATAAAGTATGTAATGAAACAGAACATCAAATATTTTAAAAAATATACAATTAGCATGTAACTAAGGGGTGAGCATGGAATCTAAAATATAAGAAGACTAAACTATCAAATAAAAAATGTTTTATATATATATTCAGGTAGTTTGTTAAAAGTCAGATGAGTCCACAACAATTGAAAAGGTTTTTCTCTCTCTTAAATGATCATTTTCAACCTTATTGCAGACAATGAGAGTGGCTGAGCCTGTGCCATCTCAACGCTCAGGGAAGAAGACGCACAATGAGACCTGTTTTCACGCTGCACACTTAGTAACCTCTAGAACAAACAAAATGGGGCATGAAAGGTCAATTCCTGAAATGCCATTTGACAGGAGGTTTGGAATCAGAAATCAGGTTCCTGAAGGAAGGGAGTGTAAGCAAATATTACCGTATTTTTCTGTCTATAAGACGCTCCCATGTATAGGACGCCTCCCACTTTTCTTACCCAAAATTCAGAAATCAACATTTCCCATGCTCTTTTGCATAACTGATTACAGCCAGTTTAAATTTTGAAGAGTAATACATCCGCTTACTGGTACCGGTATTTTTTTGGTTTTCTGACATTTTTATGGGCTCAGAAATTACTGCTCCCTGTTGCATCTGGGCACTGGCTACACGCTCTCCGCAGCATCAGCTGACGTCGGGTACGGAAGGCTCCTGATTGGAGGAAACCTGTTAGCTTGTCTCTGCAATCGGAAGTTTCTCGTGAGGCTAGTTTGCAGAGGTATCGGTGTATAAGACGCTTCTCCATTTTTAGGTTAATATTTTAAGAAAAAGTATAGTCTTATACATGGAAAAATACAGTATTACACAAAGTATTCCGCCACAATGGGGGATTGCTCTATTGGCGCTCAGCATTGGTTCCACTCAAAACTTAACATTGAATTCTGATCTGCTGACATAAGTTCTATTATCTGCTTCAGTAATTATCCTTTTTAATTTGTTTATTAGAGTGCAGGGCGGCGTTTGGGTGCTAAATGTAGTGTATCCACTGTGGGAGAACGAAATCCAACTCACTTCTCCTATAGCAGCTGGATGGACTTTGCTTGGTAAACAAAATGGTTTTATGGCATTGTTTCGATAAGCTTATGCAATGTCACAACATTTATTTCTGTCCAGAGTTGCATTCATTTTTCACCAAGATTCTGGTCGTGATGATGGGAGAGTCAGACCACTGTGTCAAGTCATTCCCAGAACATCCCAAAGATTCTCAATGGGTTGAGGTCTGGACTCTGTGGTGGCCGATCCATGTGTGACAATGATGTCTCATGCTCCCTGAACCATCTTTCACAATTTGAGCCCGATGAATCCCGGCATTGTCATCTTGGAATATGCCCAATGTGCCAACAGGGAAGAAAAAATCCATTGATGGAAAAACCTGGTCATTCAGTATATTCTGGTGGGCAGCTGACCACATTTTGTGGGCATATAACATTGCTGAACTTAGACCTATTATCCAATGGAAGGCTTTTATGTATATGCTTAGCCAAATCCAGGTGTTGACTTTTTTTTTGGGACAGGCAGTTTAAGTTTCCAGTGTAAGTACAGCATGCTAAAACATATGTATATGTAACACTTCCAGTATTTATTACCTCACACAGAGATTTCTGCGCTCTGCCGCCCCGAGGCCGGGCCTCGGTGGCCTTGTGGGAAATCCGGGCCTGGGTACCATGTTTGTTCAGGACGGAGATGCCACCTCGTAGGTGGCACAATAATGTAAATTCTGGTACCTGGGCCGTTCTTGACACCAGAAATTTCCCTCACTTTGGAAGGATTTCCTCTCACTTCCTGTCGTGGCAATGGGACAGTGAGTGAAAGAAAATCTACCCAATGGGACAAAGATGACCTGTGTTATAAGCCTCCTTTAGGCCATCCAAAAAGGGGGAAAAATAGTTTTGGCTTTAGTTTCTCTTTAAGGCAACTTTAACCAACCAATGGAAATGTCCACACAAGTACATCTTCTAATCGTGCCAATGAAGACACATTGCGCATAGCAATGGCGTGTCATAGGCGTGTGTTATTTCAGCTTTCTGCTTATGGGTCATGAAACTGTGTTCAATCTAGACCAACCGCTATCCATCTTACCCCGTGCGACCCTGATCGCCAGCTGATGGATGGCTGTCAGTTGGCTGAGTGTCGAAGTGCAGGTAATGTGACATACAACCTCATTGGAGTGATGGAAGGGTATGGATCAATCTCCTTTTAAATTAAGTGATTGCGATCAATACGGCCATCATCCGTTATTCAATGACATTGGGAAAAAAAAAAGTAAAACCAATCTGTAACGTCACTGAATGCTGAAATGAAATGTTTCTAGACAGTGTTGAGCAAACTGAGCTGTGAGAAAGTCCGCAGAGAACAGGCCAAGCTTTAAAGTGCACCTATCATCGAATGTATTATTCATGTTAAGTACAAACATGTTTAGTAAGGCGTCAGCACTTCCAGGTATACAGCATTACCTCTCACAGAGATCATAGTTCTCCCCCTGACGATGCCTACATCTGATTTTCCCTCCAGAAGTGTGGTGCTGTTTTTGTTCAGGCATCATCCAGGGTCACCCTCTACTTCCTGTTGTCTGTGCAGTTCGTGGCTGTGCTTACACAAATCAGCAGATTGATGACATCATCTCAGCCCGGTCACTGGATTAAAGCTCAAGAACGTCTTATTTCTTTTAATTCTCACTACAGTCATCCCTTATAGGTCCTCTGGGAGGTTGTTCAGCCAAACATTAGAAGGAAGAATACGAATGATCATTGACTACAGAACGTTTGACAGTAGTGCTTGCAACATTGCAAAAACTATAAATCCCTTAGGATTTTCATACACTGAAGCAGGGGTCTCAAACCTCCGGCTCTCCAGCTGTGGTTCAACTACAAATCCCACGAGGCATTGCACGATTCTCACAGCCACAGACATGACTCCCGAAGAAAGATGCATTATGGGATGTGTAGTTTCACCACAGCTGGAGGGCCGGAGGTTTGAGACCCCTGCACTGAAGCATCTAGAGCAGGGGTAGGCAAACGCTGGCTGTCAGGGACCATAGCACCAGGTCCTGCAGTTCCTGTGCTCGCCTGCAGGTGTTTTCAGGCAGCCAGGAGATGTTGGATACCAGACCACAACTGGGTGGTGCTGGAACCCGCTTGTCCAGTCCTCACCTGTGGCTCTCTCCCAGCTGTCAGTGATTTTGCTTCAGTATCCTGTTGCCATTTCCTGCGAATCCTGAGCCCTGTTACCTGCTTGTTGTCCTGAGCCCTGTTACCTGCTTGTTGTCCTGAGCCATGTTACCTGCTTGTTGTCCTGAGCCATGTTACCTGCTTGTTGTCCTGAT